ATTAATTATTATAATGGGTTTATGTATATTTAGATGTGTGTGTATTCTCTTCCTCTTCCTCTTCCTCTTTGTCGTCTCCTTGTGATCGTAACATATATATGTATATATTATATATGCACAACTTACATAAATCGCTCAGCGAATATTAAAAAAAAAATCGAATATAAACCATGGACAACTTATCGCGTTAAGCTAAAAGAACTTAATCCATTAGAGAAAAGTCTAGTTACTTGCAGGGCGGGCGTTGATGCTGTATGCTTGATCTGGATATGGATCGGGATCACGTTGTCTTCTAGCTCCGTTTGGGTGGCGTCCAATTGATAGTATCATTGGAAACATTCCCAACACCGTCACCGTCTCCGTCTCCAGCACCGCCATCGCCACTGCCACCGCCCTTATCCAGCAGCGCCTCCGACTTGGAGCTCTGCAGGCGCTTCTCGCAGTACAGACTGCCCACGGGCTTCGCTGCGGATGCAGTCAGGCTCTTGGTCATTCTGGTGTAGTAGAGCTTATCCAGGCTTATTTGTCGAGCAATCATTGAGCCCAGCATCGATCCCTGGTCCGACTTTGTGGCCGTCGTTCGATTCCGATTCGTGATCGGGAATTTATTCTTCGTGCAGCTCAAATCCAGCTCCAGCGTACAGGAACGTCCGCGTGTATACTGACGATTCTCGTTCTGAAGATTAGCACACGTCGTGCTCTCTATCGGAGTTGTTGCGGCTGATGATGATAAGGAGGTCGCCGTCGTCGTTGTTGTCGCAGTTGCAGTCGCAGTCGCAGTCGCCGTCGGCGGTGGTGATTCCTGCATTTGACTAATCGCACCGCCGCTGCAGCGCTTGTTATTCTGGAGGGCAGGGAGGGCGGGGTTTGCAGCGCTCACACTGCTGGCCTGTGTCTCGTCAAGGCTGCCATCACAGACATCTTCGCCAGCATCCTCGTCGCTGCTCATTGCATCCTCAGTCGCATCGTCAATGTGCAGCTCATTGCGGTTGGCCGGAGTCTGCACTGGAGCCTTGTTGGCCCCGATGCGCGGCGATCGACTCCGAACTAGCTTCATTAAATCATTAATCCTCGCCTCGTCAATGGGCGGCTCATTGTGGGTTTCCGCCGCAGTCTTCCGACGTGGCAGTCCAGAATATGCCTGCACCGTAGACTCGTTGGCGCCGATGTGCTCGCCAACGCGCGGCGACTGATCCATGAGTAGGTTCTCCCAGCTGGTCTCGTACACGCTCGCTAGTTGCGCCGTCTGCTTTGGCTTCAGCTGTGCCTTATGAGATAATAGTGTTGGATTCGAAGGACTTCCTGCTACCTGTGCTGCTGCTGATGATGATGATGTTGGCGTTGTGGCTGTTGCTGCTGCCGTTGGGGTCGCTGCTGCTGCTGATGCTGACGTTGGCGTTGCCGCTGTTGGATTCGTTGATGTTGAAGCCCCAGCAGAGCTTAGGGATCCAGCTGACCCATCGGCTGGCTGCTTGCGGGCATTGATAATCAGCTGCGGCTCCACGTAGAACGCGTCAAAGTTCAGGTCCAGGAAGAGCTCCTGCAGGAAGCGTCGCGCACTCATGCGGTAGCTACTGCGGCCGAGCGTCTTGCAGGACTCCGAGTACAGGCAAATGTCCTGAAAGGCATGCGGATGCTTCTGCTTCAGCTCGAGCAGGGACATCTTCGACTGCTTCGCGCTGACCGGATTGGCCATGCGTTGCACATTGTAGAGTATGGAAGCGGTCACCTTGCCCGGCAGACCCTCTTCGCTCAGTATGCTCTCGGGCGAATGAAAGCTCATGTCCCCTAGCTGTATCGCAGCGCCGCTCGACTTTCCCGTGCTCTTGCGGGCCAGCGCCGGGCCAGCCTGCATGCCAGCGGCGACGAGCGTTGCCGATGCACTGCTGTACAGTTCGCAGGGCGCGACTGCGCTATTGCTGTTGCTGTTGCTATTACTATTACTATTACTATTGATGTTGCTGTTGCTATCCTGTGCCGGCACCTGGGCCTGCACGCGTTGACGACGCGAGCGCGTGCAGTAGAGGCATTGACTGCGCGCATGCTTCGAGCCCTGTTGCCACTTGCATGGCCGGCGACTGGCCGATGATGAGACATCGGAGAGCGAGGATATGACCGAGGATTCATCGCCGCCCTCATTGTTGATGGAGTCGTTGAGGAACGTCAGAAACTGCGGCCGCACGCTCAGCAGATTCACGCCCGTCAGATCCTGATCAATGATATCACATGAGACATACGTACGGCTCAGATTGCGCGACGGAAACAAATCGAGCGCGTTCTTCGGCAAACAGATTCCCGTGTAGCACGGTCCTTGTAGATCGTTCTGCGGCAGAAACTTGGGCGTGTTCAGCGTGGGCAATGGCACCTGCAGTTCCTCCGACGAGAGACGTCTGCAAAAGGATAAAACAAACTTATAATTACGATCAAAACAATCGGAACAAACAGACCGAAACTATATCTATGAGTGATTCTCTCGATCTATATGCATATAATACAAATCGCACAAAACTAATTGCATATAACAGGCTTGACAATTTGCGAACGCTTTACCCTCTCCCTTCTATCATTCACTCAATAGCCAATTTTGAAAATAATTAAAGGCTCCGGCGCATTAATTATCTAATTTTGGATATGAAATATTTATAGCTTGGAGCAGCTAAACGTTAGACGTTTCTATATTTACCACATTCATAATTTCTATGCTTGCGAACCAATTTTATAATGGCTGAATCTATCCAACTCGCTCTGTTGCATCTCTCTCTCTCTCAAGCATTGGCCGCAAACACTTGCACATGTATATGGGCCATAGAGAGAGAATGAGAGAGAGAGAGAGAGAGAAAGAGACAAGACAGCAGGCAGATAAACAAACAAATGTTTGCTCTATATACATTGTGACCTCAAATATATACATATATACATATATACATATATACATATATA